CCTCGAAGCATCGGAAGACATATGCGCATAAGTGATGAGTTCAATCGGTGCTAATGACGAAGCTACAACGTCAGAATCCATTGTTAATACAGACCATAGCTATGCTTCTTGATAACAAGAAGTTCTAATATTGTTGTCTTTTTAGTTTTACATAAATTCATTTATATGGCCATTGACTTATTCTTATAGCGTAACGGCAGGGAGTGTATTGTGCAGTATTATGTGGCTGTGAGACAGGAGTGTTGTTTCGCTTTCTTGTGTAATAATTACCAGTTTGGCGCACACGCGATTAGTCATACATACCGTTTACCAAATACTGCTACCTTGAACATGGTGTACCATACTAGTAGTTCGAATTCCGACCTGTCACGATAGATACGAATTGCCGTAATTAAAAGACTGGTGCGTTATAAATGAAAACGTTTATTGAAGTTTGAATCTAGCACAAACGATCCATTAATAAATAACTTCTATTTCTCAGGAATTGTTCCCGTCACGTCTGTGAACACTTGCGAAGCTAGCTGGAAATAAGATAGACAGGAAAGTTATTTCAGTATAAATGTTTACCAGAAACTAGTATAAAAACGGGAACTAGTATTCAATTACAGATCGAAAGTGCATTTAGCACACCCTTCCTTTGGATAGTCAATCACGCTTATTTCCTTTATCTCTTGCGTTGCTTAGGAAAGCCTGGGTCACAACATACACGGATTGTATTATTTAATTCTTTGGGCAGGTTGCACTTCGGAAACTTAGACGATGAACATATATAAAGACTGCTGTGTGAATCTACTTTGAATCGTCCTGTGTAACCTGCAATTCTTGATGCATATTCTATTCTAGTCCCACGTAAGTTATGAGTAATTGTCATTTACGGCATCAGCATGTAAGCTAGACAGGCCTTGGTTGATTTCCGAAGATCATCACATAGGATCTCACACAATCTGGTCACCTTAGATCAAAATATCTTGACTATCGAGTCGTACTTTTCAGTGCTTTCTCGTGACAGCTTTATATCAGTACTTATTTCTGCTATTAGGTATTTTTGCAATAATACCGGCAGCCAAACCATTGTAGCTCCCCAGACAACCCAAAAAGGGTAAATAAGGGGGTAAATGCTTTGGTAGCGAAAGGGGAAAACGCATCAGAATGTCGCCTTTTTCGCCTGTCCGGGGGAAATAATGCAGATTTCCCCCTTTTTTCGCCTTTTCGTCGATAAATTACTCACTTTTCGCCTAAATGTCCGCTGAATTGTCCACTTTTCGCACACTACACACAGAACTCCCTATTTTCCATCTATTGACATAACCCCAAAAGTCTCCTGTTTGCCTTTATTTTCAACAACAGACCAAAATAAATCTGCAATGCAGTGGAAAACCGGCATATTTTTGAAAAATTTTATTTAAAAGGTAAAGCGTATTATTGTACAACACTAGGGCAGAAGCTTAAGCATCGATTGTTTTGCATAACCAATGCAATTGCTAATGCATTGTTATTTTAAATTATCTGAAAAAGAAGGAACAAGTGATGCATTATTTATAAGGAATGTGCATTTAATCAAAAGTTCACTGACACTCAAACACACATTCTCAACACTTCTACAGTTTCCCATGTAAGTAAGAAAGTAAGCTGTTTGAAAAATGTTTATTGAAATGTAGGTATAACATCAAAACAATTGCACGGCTATTGAGAATTGAGGTAATCGTCCCGTGAGTTCTGAATTAAAAAAAGAAAAAAAGTCACAACCATATCTCAATGACATGCTTTGGTACAGCCAAATACTTGTGTAGATCTACACAAGAGGAAGTAATGCTATCTTAGCTTGGTCTCTGGTAAAATCTCCACATAGTTATACCTCTTCCGCATGATTATGATTTATTTCCTGCAATATAATCATCTAGTAGCTAATATATCTAACTGTAGAAGGTGATATTAACATCTTGGTATGTGTTATTATCATCTCTAGCATATACATAATATTTACAACACTCGGGACACCTAATGTTTTCACTATCAACCTATTTCTGCCATGAAAGTCGGACAAAACAGTGAAAATCAGCCGAAATTGTGATAAAGACGGGAAAAACGATAAATCTTACCATGGTATCGTTAGTTGTAACGCAGTTTGGGTAGCCTTGACGACAATACAATTTTTATGACGATATATGCCTCAATCATGCTATTTCATATAAAAATAAAAGATTTGTCTACCATCAGTGTATACCTAAGTAGAAATAAGTGCTAGTCTGCGATGCAAACACTAAAAAACTATTATAGCAGCACCTGAATAATGAATTTTCAAGGACTTCGCGATACCATGTAACGCAAAATGGAAAAACCCCTTTTCACCTAATTATCAAAACGGAAAATAGACTTTCAAATTTATTCATAATTAATTTCGAATTTTGGTTGTGCACAAAGCAGAAATGAAAAAGTAGCGCAAAAAAGTGTCGCGATACCCTGGAGCGCTGCCATCAACTCCAGTCCATTCAATTCATTGTTCGCGCCTTCTCCATTGTTAGGTATTTATCCGAGTTAAATATTGAATATCTATTTTCTGAGTAGTCTCGTGTTCAGCTTTGTGGATTGTGCGGTTATTGTTCAATGCCACTACATAGACACATTTCTGTTGCATTTTAGAAGTATCAAACATTCTGTAACGAAAGAGACACCATCAAAGCTACTAAAATGAAGGATTATTCGTTCGAATATGAGATGTCTGCATAAGTTATAAATCGTGGAAATGACCTTCGACCAGCTATGGGGGCTGCAGTGGAGAATTTTGTGGAATCTGAAATTCGAATTTTAGATATCAATGATTTAAGTACACACAACTGACATGTTGACCAAATATAATTCCAGTTTTGGTTATTAATTCAAATGCCGATATGTATATTCTAGATTTTGTCATATATTTGTTGACTTTCAGGAGTGCAGAGATTCTAGTTTTACTTATTACTATTCCAAGAGTGCAGTCAAGTAACAACCAATGCAAATAAATGATAGATATTGAACATAAATATGTAAACTCATGCACAAACAAAGAAGGGAGATAAGGTATTCTACAGTAGTTACAAAAACTAAAACTACGTGGCACTATGGTTGCTACATTTTTACAAGGAGTTTGAAAGAGCATGGAAATGGGTGAAGCTACGAAAATACTTGCCTCCCGAGTGCGAAAAACTGAATGCAAACTGCTGTCCAAAGCACAAAAAACGGAGAATCAATATATCTCACTCCTCATTATTTACAAACCGTTAACAAATTTCCTTTGCAATCATATCTTAACATATTGATCGTAACCACATCTGTGAAAATAATATGCCTTCATGACTCCTTGTACAGATAGATCCTACCAAGCTTGATCTCACAGTGTTTATGATCAGCAGCTATCACATGAAAGTGGCAAATACACGAGACAACCAAAATATTCCACAGATATACAAGGCTTGAGAGAAGTGTTGTCGGCAACAGCTTTATGAGAGCGCATACAAGACCCGGTCAAACTAGAATTAAAACATAAAAGAGCCCTAAGATATGGTAAGTATATTTTATATCATATCCCTATAAATGGAAAAATTGTGTTTCTGACGTTTCGTGACTTAACATAAGCCACTTGTTCAGAGTTAATAAATAACCGACATTAAATTAACACAAGTTTAAATAGTACAAAAGAAACAACGCAAATTATTTTTAGTACAATCAGAATCATTATAGGTTTGAATATATCAATGTCAAGTAATTTTTGGTCAAGGTGAATTTGTATGGCTTGTCACTGTGTTAATTTGTGTGTCAGAATGTGGGTATGAAGTAGTGGGATATAACAAAATATATATTCATCACTAACTCTTTTCTCAATACTCAATCTATTTGAAACTATGAAATTCAATTCAATTGGTGTTGTTTGGTTGTATCTTCCCATTGTTGCTTAGGCCTGCAGGTGATCGGTCTCTAAATGGTATATGTGCATCCTGTGAGGACTGCATCGGTATGGCTTTAGGTCACAAGCTTTGTGAGTAAAGATTAAAGGTGGCTATCAGTTGAATCCAGGACGCACGTTTGGTCCTAGTTGGGACTCGTCAGTTAGATGTACCTGCACCTCAGAGTTGATGTTCTGTCCAGGACACGAACCCAGTACTGTTCGCTTCAAGCACCATCGCGTTGTCCACTTAGCTTCTGAGTGCTGATAGCTACTTGCATGTGCAATGGGGTGAAGTTTAAATTTACTTGGTGTTGTTTGTTTGTATTTTCCCATTGTTGTTTAGGACTGCAATTGACCAATCCAACCTTGGCATCAATATGCATGAGGGGTGGGTAGTACGGCGTATTAAATGATGATGTAGTAAGGATAATTGGAAGAGTTAGCACAGCTGAGGTGTGTTTGGAAAATTCACGTGGTCAACGTCAAATAGGAAAATTTACAAAACTATTTGTTTTGGGTATTTATTTACCACTGTAACTTATTACTGCTTCATTACGATACCCATTCTGAACTAAACTTCCTTCTGGTTTGAAAAGAACCCTCGAAAGTATGTTCTCAGTTTTATATCCGATGATTACTTCCATTTGAGCCATTTGAAGTGTTCTGATATCGTTTAAGAGCAACACTCATTTTGCTCATATGACGTGACCGAGATTGAAAGTCTTAGAGTCGTGTGGTGCACTAGAAAGGATAAAACTTACTGTCGCTGTTCTGATTTCATGTGCAAATGAGACTGAATGATACTGAACAGAAAGTGTCAGCAGACTTTTAGTTTTAATACGCATGGTTTTACATTCGGTCATTTCCCTTCTAGACACTCTTAAAAGTCACTGTTTTTCATCCACAGGTCGCTGCAAGATACATACAAAAAATGTCATTTGAAATTTCTAAAATTTTCATTTAGTATTTTAGTAACATATTGTTTACTGAATTGGCAGGCGTTTATTGGTAATTGTACGTTTGTTTCGACAGCGCGCTGAACTCGGGGCAGAGATCTCGCGGTTTATTTGTATGTATTACTTTGGGTAATTTTTATATGCTTAGTATACTCTTCATGCTGATGATCAATAGACCATCGTTGCTTCATCTCTTTAAAAACGTTTTGATGCTCTCGAAATAGAGTTTCGTAATGCATAAATATTCCAGCCGAAACGCTGAATGGGGTTTCAAATAACATTATGAAAAGAGTAAAATAAAAGATAGGGGTTTGATACTTAGGATTCTCGGTTTGAAGTTGGTTTAGGCATGTTTATCTGAAAGAAAATATGTTTAAGGTGCTTATCACCCTCAATCTTTCTAACCTATACAATCCTTAGTCTTGATTTGGATTATCTTCATGGTTTTGCGTTTTTCGTGAACATTGAGATTCCAGTCAATATTTTTAGGCGTTGAGAGCCGACCAATCAGTAAATCATGGAGCTAATGAACTCGTTTTGCCTATAGCATGATACGTGCTGTCGATTGCTCAAATGCGTCTAAACACCTGTGATTTTGTTCCTACTCATTCATCAATGTCAAACACTCAGAACCTTTAGGTTTAGGTGCAGGGAAACAGTGTATTTATGAGTTGAAATTTATGGTTATAGACTAGTGTCTACCTTTCTCAAGTCCATCTTAACCCATTTTAATACAGTTTTAACACCAAGATCTGGTTCCCAAACCTCATTCATAAGGTAACTAGAATTTCCTGGTGGTTTAAGCTTTTTTGACTTGAACAAGTGTGCGACAAATGAATTGTATCTAATCTGTCACCAATAAATTCAAACTGGACGTCTTATTAACTACTTTCTTTACGTAGACACCATTCGCCTACTACAAATCAGAAGCACATCATGAAACATTTTCTTTGACCTACTACCATTTTTAGTCATGTAGCTCTTTCATGTAATTGCCAAATAAATCGACACTCTTCGGGTGGGGTTTTGTGAAACTAAATTTCACATGCGTAGGTTATGATTAGGCTGTTAATGACGAAATCTTGTGACAATCAGGTATTAATTTTTCTTCATGAATAGTGATGTACTTCTAAGATAAGTGAACTTTTGGTAGTGTTACTGTTGAGATCGAACCGTTTCGTACTCTTGTTTGTGCCATATGGTGCTTTCGATCCCAGTTTTTTTTTCGTACTAATAAATCAGCGAATGTCGTCCGATGTATAAAAGATGGAAACCACAGGTTAGGACGGTATTTATTGTCTCAGAAAATATTCCTTGGTCAACGAACTCAAGAGATAATAATCTAAACAGCTATTCAGCAATCATGTTCTCATACTAGTGTAAAAGCTATCTAATTAACAAAGTAGTGCCAACTAAGCGGTGGACTTTAATAAGCCTATCATTTTACTCAGTCCATCTTTCTAAAAATTGTATTTAACCTTTTATCTAGGTACTTTGTTTGTGTTCAAAGGATATTGACATTCGGTACTAAGGATGTCTTTCATTCATAGCTGCTTAAGAAATGGGTTTATCAATTGTCTTACTTCTACCTACCAAGCTTGATATTTTGACCTTTTTTCGGCCAGTAGTTTATTTTTATTGAGGAAATGTGCAGTTGTTTATAGGATTACCTTTACATGCAGAAATGTGACTTGATAGTACAATAGGTACGTCAAATATTAAGTATTTATTTAATTTATTTGAATGCCTACGTTCATACCTAAAGCTAGACCATTAAGTCATTACTGCACATTTTTCGTTAGGGAAATTTGAATTATTTTTAGCATTACCTTCAGATTCACCCTCTTATCTGAAGTAATAGATATTTTAATCTTTATCACTTGTTTTCACTTTTTTCGTTTTTTTCAACTTATTTCATCTTATTCCCTTACTATTAAACCAGTGCGATGTAGCGTATTAAAGTGTACATACTGAACTCCTAGCTAGCTGAATCGAAATATCCGTATAGCACTTACGTTTTTATCTATCTTGTTCTCATCCATGTCACTGGTTAACAAAGAGCATACACTTTTAAAATGCTTTTGTTTGGTTTCTCATATTTGGCAAATGTATAAATTAATGTCTCATTTTCGTATTCTTTAAAATATAGTTCTATTCAATACTGTACTTCATTATTTTTTTTTTCAGATAACTTGCAGACCAACTTTATTGTTGATCCTTATAAGTGTCATGTAATTCTTTTATGTATGGATATTTGTTTTCGTATGCTATTTTTGAATAATGCTTGAATTACAAGCATGTGGTTTCTATGCTACATCATCTGTATACGTGTTTAACGGGTAAGATATTAGTTTTATATATTGCCGCGTATTTTCCAGATCACATGCTCATATTTGTCATGTTTTACCTGATTTGTTTTACAAATTACGCTAAGGTTGACGGAATAAGTTGTGCTTCTGGTTTCCAAGCACACAGTGATGGCGTCAGAAGTAGACAATGCACTGCCGATGTACGACATTGTTTGATTACACTTAGTCGTGAATCAACATATGAACCTTACAACCCACATAGTTTTGATTGTTGGCCATGGCCAGAATTGGTAATTGTTGAATTTAATTCAATAACATCCATGTTTCAATTACTTAGGAAAACAAGTGTCCTACCGTTAGGGGAGTATGCCACGTTCTTCATAAATCTAAGGATGATTTGCTCGAAACTTGCTGTTGTTATGATCATATGTGCAATAATGAAACTTTGACAATCGTCCCTATGTCTGAAGATCTCGGTAAGTTTTCAGTATTTTTGGGATTTTACTAACGTCTATCAACTTTTGGGAAGAACTAAAAGTTGACTGGTGGTGGACCATTTTTTCTATAGTTAAGAAGTGTATCCAATGATCTCGGCGAGTTACATAGACTTGTACACTTCACTACTTGTTATCAGTATTAATCATTCAATTATGATGAAACGGTTAAATATGATCAATGCCATTTTTTGATCATTTAAATTATTAATTACTATAACTTCCGTTTTGCATATTAGTTTTTAAGTTGTCAATCGTATCGAAATTATTTAAGATGTGTAGACGTAACATTATTTACCGCTACTATCGTACAATAATCGCATTTTTATGTTTGCCTCCGATGTTCAGATAAAATTACATCTTGGATCAAGAAACTGTTCTTTCTGACATCAAAGTACACTCATTTTATTTCTTACTTGACTAAAACGGATAAAATACGTTCCGTAGTTTCATGCTAAAAGTGTATATGCTTGATCATACATTCTCTGAATATTAAAACGTATTGTAACTGATTACGTTCACTTCCATTTCTTATTCTCTTCAATTGTTTAATTTTATGTCTCAACACTTTTATATCTTATAGTTCCAGGTGATCATCACAAAAGTGGTCTTGATCACTTTGGTTTACGGGTTCCTGATAATGATTTGAATGTAGTTGTAGCACCTCAGGATTTTCCAAACTCAGGCGTTATTTCCCCCCAGCGTTCAGATTCGTACGAAGATCCTTCAGATAATCGATTACAGATAGATGCATTAAGAATATTTGTCATTTGTGGTATATTACTTTCAACTGTATGCACAGTTATTTTACTGGTGTTTTGTTTATCTCCGCGATATAAAAAAGTCCGGATGAAATTTTTCCTTGCATGCAATCATCCATCTCCATCTTCACAATATTTTCAAAACAGTTTAGACAGTCGTGTTCATGGCGCACTATCAATTGTTGATTGTTTCCATTGTCCAAAAAGCTCGTCTTTCAAATCATCCTTTGCCAGTGGTTGTGTTGTAACGTATCCTGTGAAAAAATCGGAGATTTCACGTCACAGTATTTCAAACGGTGATCATTTACACCAAGCGGGTTCCTGTATTGAATCACTAGGTAGTGGATTCGTTTTCTGTGATATATCGGAAACTGAATCGAATGTGAAAGAATTAGCTAATTTGCAGGTTAGTAATTATAGTTGGAATAAATGCATACGCACGTACTTGTATACACTTCACTTCAGATGCCCTCTTTTTGTGATATTTCTGGGGTGCACTTTAAAGTTAGGTAAACGAATACATAATACGATGTAAAAATAGGAGTTTTTAAAATATAAACGTGAGACTGAGTTGTGAGCTAGTAGTATGACACTCGTGTTTCGGACCGTCTCATATATTATTTAATATTATTATTCAATAGTAGTACACGAAACTGCGCTCGATGGCTGGGTTTCTGGAAAGTAGATGAAGAAAATCAAGTTTTTACCTAACACAGTTCGAGTCATAAGTATGCAATTTCCATTCGCAACAAATGGTTTAATACTTCTTTTTTCCTATTTCGTCTCAAAGTTTAATCATTTAAACCTACATACATTTGTGACAAGATTATACAGTATTTTCAGTCACTAGAGTCTCATACTATTTAACGTTTCACATCTAGTATCTGTGTTTAGCTAGTTTTTCCTGATACTCCGTTGTCAAAATATGTGACAAGGAAGTTAAGGGTATCCGTATTTCGTTTTTGTTGGTGAGTTTATTGATGAAAAACTGGTAACAACGGTTAAGAAATCTTACATAAACTGATGAATTTTAAGTCTACCCATCATTCTATTGAATATCAATCAATCTACATCACTAAGCGTTATAATTTTCTCTTATTACAACCCAGCTATTCCTATTGCTTAGTATTCTTGGACACAGATTCACTCGACAAGTCTCCAAATAATAACACGGTTGAACAGGAACAAAATTACATTTTAAATAACAAAGGTAGATGGAAGTAAAAAACACAATAAGGGAAACGTTAGTATATTTATAATTTTTAGATGAGAAGATTCTAGAGTCTTCTCCAAGTATCGACTAGCGCTGGTTGGATAAGAAACAGTCAATCAGCGTGCACCGACACAATCGTGGACGGAACATGCTTCAATCCAATCTGTGTCCCGCTAACACGAGGACACCAGTATTGTGGTAAGTACCACTAACAAGATTGCTTGTAAGTAATATGTGGCGGAACGTTGTATGGAAGATATCACAGTCGACAGACGGAGAAGAGTTTTAGTTCGTCAAAAAGCATGGCATAGTCAGGACACTTGAAAATCAGTAGATAAGACAATTTAGAACTAGCTTGATTGAAGAGCATACCACAAGATGCAAATGGATGATTGAGGGCTATGTATACATTTTACATAAACTTTGTAATTTTGCTAAATAAACATTGGATTTAACAAACAGCATACGAAATCGTAATATTTTCACAGAAAATTACAAATAATATTTCCATGGTATGCATTTAGTTACCAGAGGGACATTAAGAAAGACTACGCAGTGTTTTGGGAAGATTGTATCTGCAGACAGCATTCTATTAAAAGAACGCGAATATCTGGATTAACCAGTTTTAAATCCAACATTATCATAAAAGAAGTTAACATGGTTGTATAAGCGAGATTGATGAATATTTAACCCTATTATATCACAGCATAAATGCTGGTATTATTTTAAACTTGAAGTTTGCACTTGTTGCTTTTTGTCTGTTACATAATCATTATTGAACTGATCTAAAAAACAGTGACATAAATTATCTTGAATTCACTTGATATTGTCTACTTGAATCCTCCCATATATGTTTAGCACTACAATTGATCAGTCTCTTATTGGCATATGTACATATTGTACGTATTGCTTTAATTCACAAGCATTATAAGCAAAGATGGAAATTGACTAGCAGTGGAATCCAGGACGCGTATTTCGTCCTATTTAGAACTCGTCAGCTGGATGTACCTGCATCTGAAATAAAGCAATATCAAGGCAATGTGCACAGTATGCACATATACCAATAACAGACTGATCAATTGCAGTGCTAAACATCAATGGGAGGATTCAAGTAAACAATACCAAGTGAATGTAAACTTCACCCCATTGCACACACAAGTGGATATCAGGACTCAGAAGCCAAGTGGACAACACGATGATGCTTGAAGCGAACGGTACTGGGTTCGTGTCCTGGACAGAACATCAACTCTGAGGTGCAGGTACATCCAACTGACGAGTCCCAGCTAGGACGAAACGTGTGTCCTGGATTCCACTGCTAGCCCCCATCAATCTTTGCCTATAAATTATCATGGTTTTCATTGCAAGGTCCTTTAACTAGCTAAAATAGCCACGAAAGATAATATAATAGGTGTTCAGTTTTTAATTGACTCCTAAGAATGGATGTCACTGAGTTTCATTCCTTTATCTCCTCAGTTATTAGTATTTGCATTTCTTCACGTTGTTAGTTGTTACTAATTAAATCTTCTCTAAACTGTAATAACTATGTACATTAAAGACGATTGATTTGAAATTAATGCGCTTTATGACGTTACGGGACTTTTGTGTTATCTCAGATATCTGAAAAATTTTCATTAACTGCGGCAGTTCAAAATGTTTGTTGCGTGCATTTCTGACACCTTAAAGCATTGAATTTTTCTCCATATAAAACTATAAATGTTTCTTAATGAACATTTTTATCATAAAGCTATGATCAGCAGCATTTACCGAATAAATCGTAATCCATTTGTTGACGAGATTGTGTTCACAAATTCAAGACTATTTGATACACGAATTCTTAGTAGAAGAAAATTATATAGCCGAGAACTACCTCTATTATACAAGAACATAATGTACATCATTTTGTGATTACGTCAAAACTATGTTTACATTTGAATTTTTCTACTTATCTCAGAATTTCGGGCCTTACAGCTTGTTAATTTTATAGTATTTATTGATACAACTCATTTATCGTTCGTGTACACTTGGTGCTGAATCACACTCTAAGTGTCAGCAATAATATTACTAAATAGCTGCTCAAAGTGATGCAGGTGGAGCGGTTCTTGAGCCTGTGACTTTATAACTGAAAGTTAAACACCTTAACCATTTAGCCAATGCCTTAGGGTCGTATAATTTTCGGTTAGATTAAAAACTCAGTAACATTTTATTTAACTGCGTTCGGCTTATAAACTCACCGGTTTTCGACATCGTTTTGTCACTCTTACTTCAATCTTCTTATTCCATCAGCTTGTGGCTAAGTTGTGCCATAAAGAAAAACTAATTGGTCGTGGTCGTTTTGCAGAAGTATGGCTTGCTAATGTTCCTTTTTCATTATTTGCGCATCAATTAAAAATAACTCAAGATTTATTAAATTATAAAAATCATAATAACGAAAATGGTAGCAGTAGAAAATTTCATCAGTCGTCAACAAATGGATCTATTCTTGGTCATAATTCAAATATGAATTCATCTTGGCATCTGTTATGCTGTCAACAGGATAGTAGATTAACTACAATACCTAATACTATGTTGAAATGTCTCAATCCAAATACATCATTTACATTTGTCGATACTCACCCGGAAACATCTCTGGATTATTTGTACAGGTTAGTTGATATTACTTCATGGTTTATTTTTAAATATTTCTGTGTATTAGACATATCACAACGGTTTTTGTGAATATTATAGTAATTTCAATGGTTGAGATTATGAGTCAATTCAAGCTAGATCATGGAAAACCTGGAAATACTAGACCACCGTTTCATCCTATTGTTGGGACTCCTCAGCAGTGTGCATCCACGATATATACTGTAAATTAAATTAATCATACCTATTTCGTGTTTCTCAATTATCAATGCCTTGAAGCTACCAATTTGTTGTTTAATCTATTTAAATCGCCACTGTCTCAATGTTTTTATCTATTGTAAATGTAAATACGGTAAATATGAAGTGAACGTAATCATATGACATCGTTTCACAGAACATTGCTATGAACCGTGACTACAAATATATATATATAGGGTTAACATAAAAAAACATCTACCAAACTGATGATTTTACTCTAGTTAGTGGAGCATAAAAAAGAAGAGGGAAGAAGTAGTTTCGTTCTCAGTTTTGGAAGTGGATTAGGGAATTCCTAACACAGCGCACGAACGTATCAGTTCTGGAAACTAAGACTAACTCACACCTGTGGCAGTCCCTCTGCCGGTGATATCTATCTGTCTCACAAATTTATCAGTTTTCGTTCAACCAAAGAAGAGAATAACGTATAATCATTGTTTTATTTTGTGCATAAAATACACGATACTTTATAATATTAGCATATTTAGACGGTTGTAAATTCAAACCCTGTCCCTCTTTACTTCAGTTTGAGCATCAAACTTATAGCCTTCGCTCTTACGAAATATATTTTACATAGACCTGTACTTGTTCACTTAACCAATATAGTTGTGTCATCTTATTGTCACTGATGGAAATTTGGATTTGTAAAAATAACAACTCAACTTCATTGTCTGTTTAATTACACACAAAACTTCCCCAGATGATTGAAGTAAAATGTTTGAATCAACAGTGGAAATCCAGCCCTATGTAGAAAATAAACTGAATTCGTGTTTAAGCGGTTTTCATTTTCATTCTATCTCTTAATTGACTTGTAGCTGGCTCAAATTCTACTGTTTGCCTATATCCTTCTTTTCAAATATTTAGGTGTTTCGAGTATCAGTGCTAATTAGTTGTACAACTCATTATTATTAATATTATTTAACTTTTCAAAATAAACTATTTCCTATTTAATAGACAGATTTTTTCGTCAGTTCATGTTGTACTTTAATCCAGTTAAACATTTTGGTACTGGCAATAATTATTACAGAATAATTAAATATAAGGGAATCATCTGGTTTAGTATTCATTGAATTATCCTAGTTTGTATGAATGTATGTATGTGTTTGTGCGTGTGAATTTTATGCTCACTTTTCATTGGTTTTATTTGTTTATTATACTTTCGGTTAATTGATTAATTGACTGCTAATAAGCGTGTCGCTTGTATACTGAATGCCTATTTTAATTGTCCACATAAGTAGGCTTTTCCAAATTGAAATGAAATTCTTCCAAGCCCATCTGATCAATATAAAATCGTATAAAATTCTTCCCTTCTTCTCTCCATGTGCATAATGTGTAGGTGGACTAATAATAATTATGCTTAATAATAATACAAAGTGGTTGATAGTTGTTTTGTATCTTGTTGTTAACATTTTCATTACTACTATATTTATGATCAGATTATGATTAAATAATCTTGTTAAATTTGGTCACTGGTTATTATTATTACTTTCAATACTGACAATATTTAATTACACTGATAATTTTGTTGGAATTAGCAGATAATCATCACATAAATGCATTTCCAACTATTTAAGTTCTTGAATAGTATAATCCATCATGATAACTCTGTTATATTTCTAGCTCTAAACAATAATTTCTCTACGGAAAACGTGTATTAATCACAATAAAATTATAAAATATACGAGAGAAAATTGCCTAATTCTCAAATGTTGCCTTAGTTTTTCATTTATTTCTTCATTCATATGCTTTGTTATTATCTTGGATAGAAATTTGAATTTTTCCATCTTTAAGGTTGTAAACTATCCAAATAAATTCATGAGTAGTTCTGTTGTCTTGGATTTTTCAGAGTCCATCATTGATAAGCTTTGTTGCGAAGGAACAGGGATGTGTCGAAGCCCGATTTGGAGTGTTAGAAAGCATCAGTAATAGTTGCTCAACATCTTATAGAAGTCGAGTGATTTTAAAATTTATTTAGCAAATGAGCCCCTTTAGTAAATGTCATTGAATTCTAAAGTCGTCGTAATTATATCCTTGAAACAATTAGTCAACCTTACAATGCAATAATAATTTCAACATCTTTTTTATAAGTCTCCGAGAACTCCAAGGTCTGTTGTACTCTTATAAACAGGATTTGGTTTCTGTGCCTAAATGAACCTTAAAGTAATTTATATGAGTATTAGTCAATATTAGAACCAATAGTTTGACAGGAATTGGGCGCTGAGTATTGAGAATACATTATTTGTGAAAATTATATTTGAAATAAATTCGGAGACTGAGATTTAAACAGTCCCAATGTGTTTCGTCCAGCAAATTTATCTGGACTTCTTAAACCTCAAAGTAATACTTCAGTTTCATTACAGCCTTTTTATTCGTTCAGAGAATTCATAAATGAATGGGAATCTGGAATTCGGTATGGAAGTTATCGTTACATGCACTTAACGCTATTCTGTTTTTGTTCCATCTTGCTTACAGTTGAATTTCTATCCTTTTTTCCCATCGGAACTATCAAAACAAATGAGAATTTTTTTATTTCAAATAACTTGTATATCTGCATATATTATATGAAAATTTACAAACTTGTGTATTTACCATATAGTGCTGAACTTGAACAGCGACGGGAATTAGGTGCGTGATTCTAGATAAAGAAAGAAGGTATACCAGTCTGTTAGCTGGCTCCTATGTACATTTTTCTGAACCTAGTTTTGAGTTGAATCAACTAAGTTTGTTTATCTTTGTTATAGAGAGGTACTTTAAGGTTTTGCTGAAGGATACACATTTGAATTATTAAAATGAATCAATAGAATCCTAGTTAATCGATAATTTGCACATGGATTCTATGTTTCCAGCAAATAGAGCTTCTTATGAGACCAAAGTATCGACATGAAGCTTGTAGAAACACTTATTCTCGTCCTGATATTTGATCCTTAGTTTCTTCAAAATTTGAACTTCATCATGTAAGAGATTGAGATGACTCATTATCGTTTTTTGTGGCCCCATGAATTGTGTTTTTCATCTGTTTTCTTTTGCTGAAAGTCGTTTTCAAACTAATTGATTTCTTAACAAAATCAACCACATCAATTTTGAGCTGCTTAGGTGAATATAATCCCAGTATTTTTGAGCGAAAACTTTATTGCTGTGATCGTCTGTGTTGAACAGCGGATTTTATTCTCAATGTATCCCGTCTAGACTAAAACCAGTCACGATATGTCTGTTGCTTTTTCCTGTGCCTGATAGATTCAGTCACCGTAAAAGAATTATTCAGTAGTTCTGTGGCAAGTACAGGTACGACTGAATACTTAAAGTTAATCATTCCAGTGCTAAGTATAACATAAATGATAAACGAAAACAAGTTCCACTTATCTCCCTCATCCGCAACTTATTTAAGCAAAGAAAAGTCAGGATTTAATATGTTTCGTTAAATACCTCAACAGTTTGCTAGATATGTAGCTGTTATGCATCAATGTACATATTTTTATCTTCCGTGCATAAAAACCATAAAATAGCCTAAAAGGATGTATCTTGCATTGTGTAAATTTAATGGTCAGTCGGTCATCCATTAATAGTTTGAAATTATAAACCATACAGCTCTAAAAACGCTATACACTAACAGACCAAAATGGTAAAACCGTCAGTTTTGTTAGTTTTATTTTGAGAGATGGTAACCACCCCACTCTTAAATTTATTCTAGCTTGAACGAAATTCATCTTTTAATACAAAGTTACAATGTCTTTTTGTTTCATTCGTGAATACGTGTTGCCCAAATCTTTTTTTCTCTTCTTCATTTACTCAAACCCAGTGAGAAGAGTGAAACTTCAGTTTCTTCGAAAAAAGAAACAAAAGATCGTACTGATGACAAGGAAAATATACATCATGCCGAAACATCTACCTCTCCTTTATTATTATCAACCAGAACAGTTTCATCTATTGATGTAAAAAATTCACTAATAAACAATTTTACTACGAGTGATGAATCCCCTATGCCTGTGGCCGTAAAAACATTCACTGCTAATGAATATGATGCATGGAAAACAGAATTGGGGATTTTCAAGGCTATCCATTCAATAAACAGACGATTACCTGCAATTGTTTCTAGTACTGCTCCTACTGCTCCAACTACTATCAATACTACTGCTACAATAACAATCACTACTAGTACTGCTACTAATAATAATAACACTAGTAATAATAGCACTATTACCACTGACACTGTCGGTACAACAAGCACTATGAATTCCTTCAGTATCAAATGTGTGCACCAAATGTTAAGACATATTGGGCATCCTAATATTGTTTTACTATTAGGAGCAGGATCGGTAAGTTGTTAAATTCACTAAAATCACTGAATGCTTTTATTATCCGCTTTCTCAAATAAGTATGTCGAATACTTTGGCTTTATTTTAGGATACCCTGTGAAAAATTGAATGAACAGAAATATGGATACGTTTATGAATTTAGATATCGATAAATTTCCATTGTGTGTTCGTAAGCATTCTATTAGATATCCTAGATCGAAGGTGGAATAATAGTAAAGGCTTTGCTTATCAATGAAAGTAACATTTTTGCACTTGAACATCTCTATTACATAATATTATAGCCGTAAAACATTGTACTGACAAAACTACCTGAATTTTTATTTTTATTTTTAAAGTGCTAAGTCATATAACTTGTTAGTTGGTGATCTACATAGGATCTCAGAGTTTTGGTTATTTAAGTAGGCGAATTCGTCAATATGTAATATAGTCGAACAGCTTGCATGCTGTATGTAACTCTCGTGCTAATGTCTTTAGCTTGTATTTATTTTCTCCAATATGTCGTCCATTTAGTCTTTTTGAATGAACATCAGTGTTTTATTGGTTCAGGTGTCTGTTAGTATATGTTAGCAATAAGGTATCCAACTTTCGGTCTGATTCAGTCAGTAACCTCAAATTACCGTTTATGTTAGAGTTATCTGTAGATTTCAAGAGATCAATAAATTACTACACTGCGCTACATTCCATGGAGGAAATAAATTTATTCTTATCGCTTTGATAAAAATCCTGACATTTTTGTTGTATAGCTAAAGGCAGTTATAATATTACCGACCGTAGGACCTTCGTCGATGTGGTGGTCAAGCTTCGATACCATGATGAGCCGCCAACCGAGCTATTAGCTGGAACACTCATCTCTTTGAATCCTACTATGCCAGGCGTTTGTATAGTTTGCGAGCTGTAAACCTAGTGTCCGAGACCGAGGTCATACTCCTGATTGTATATAAGTGTAACAGCGATAGTGTTTCCATCAGGGCAACTAGCATCTTCAGCGATTCTATCTTTCCATAACAGGAGGAGAAGGTTTTAAAAGGTCGACCTTAAAATAGTACATCTCACCAGATCTCTGGTGCCAGTGCTAAAGGTTGAATAGCACGGTGCTAACATATTAAAAGCTCCTCACAGGATAACTGTATGTGAGCAGCCTCGAGCAGCAATTGTGCATATCTCACCTACTAAGATTCCAGTAACTATGTAACATTTTTTTACCGTCTAGTCTATTTTAAAAAACCGTGTTTAGTAAAGTACACCTCCAAAATACTTCGATGTATATATTAATAATCATGCTATTATCAAACAGTATGATATTGCAGTTGTGCAGGTTACTAAGTCATTAGTTCTCATTTCCAACAGGAATGTTATGAATAGTTAAATTTGTTACTGTATAGAATAATAGTAAGTAATTATTTGCTGTTAAAATCTATGTAGTTTCTAGTTTGATCTTTGTGAAGTTTATTATTTAAATCAGTTATGTATGTTGTTTACGTAAACATCAGATAAAATTTTAATTCAGCACGGTGACTTTTATAACAACGGATTACATGCTTATCTGTTATTCTGTAAAATTTGAGATGAGATAGATTTGGTGATTTTTTTAAAGATTTTTAATAAATCAGCTGATTTACAATCTAACGTTATTTTTCGCTTTATGATTTTCTTAATATATACTTGTCACTATTGTCTAATTCCTTCTTTGTCATATTGTATATTTTAAAAGTGCAAACAAATAATTTCCCCATCCCATTTTTGTTGGTTTGTTTGCTAGTCATTTAACTTTAAAAGAAAGATATTTATCCATTCAATCTAGTGCAATTTTTGCTTGTGTCACTTGACAATTGTTTTCTGTTTTTTAAAAAAAAGTCGAAATCTCTTTGTTTCTTTCAAAGGTTTATATTTTTTCGTTACTTTTTATTTTCTTCTTTTCATTGTTTTATATTCATTAGTTATTTCTCCATATAATTTTGTCTTCTTCCTTGAAGACGAAATAATTTCTTTGTTCTATCCCTCTTTACACTTAGAGCTATGCTTAATTTATGCGTCTTACATAATGTTGACGTAATGATTGACTTTATATTTCCTACTGAAATTATTCCTGACTAGTAATCGGTTAAAATGGCGCAGGGATGATGGATTCCTGAGTTTCAGAATTACCTTATACTTATTTTATTCCATGAATTCATGTTTTCTTCTAATCTTTTATACCACCACTAATACTGTTATTACGTCTACCACTTTTGGATCTCTTTTTACTACCATGGTGTGCGGGGAACTTGAAACAATAAACATTTCGCCAGGTTCGACCGTTGTGTATGAATGACTAATTTAATTATCTTTGAATCATTTATCAAGTTTACCTCAGTCTAGCAGTGTTAATAGTAACTTAATTGTACTCAACCTAGAGACTAATAATACGTAAGCATATCCAACGTAAATAGAATGAATTAAGCAACTAATACACAATGATTACAATTTACACAAGTAGTAGGTGAGAAGTAGACTAAACTTTACAAAAGAGCTTTTATGTTCAATAAAATAAATGAACATTACTGTACGTATACTGTTAAGTAGGATTTACAGGATCTCAGGAAAAGTGAAACGGATTATCAAAGTGATGAATTACATTTAGGGTTTTATGATCAGTGTCGCGTTTAGTGGTGTCGTTCGCTGTTATTCTTTCTCACTTTTGTTTATATTACTATTGTCTAGTTTGTTTTGTTGTTTTTATTTGTTATTCTTAAACATGCATACTGTTCTTACCAAGTTCTTGACATTCACGTAATCTTAAATGATGTGTGGTGGGAAGTTTTCTTTTTTTGGACACTTCACATCATTCGACTGGTTCTCGGGTGAAAACGCAACCTGAACAGTAACGTAAATATGTTTCAAAGTAAACATCGAGTTAAGTTAATATAGTAAGAAAGTGTTCAATGTAAAGGAAATTCCTAGTGTTTTCAACTCATCTACTATCGATGATTGAAGTTGAAGCAATCAGCGCGCTTCAACGTGATCGTGTCTGAAACATGCTGTAATCAAGTAATCGTCCTGCTATCATATGGTCGACTGATAATCACTTATTTTACTTTATCAGGTCTATTAGTCCTTCGCGAAGTGATTTGATTTCCGTGTTTTATTGTAACGTCTACTGATAATTAAGTCTTGTTACTAGGAAAGCCTGAATATTCATGGGTTTTCCGGTGTGAATTACATATATGTTTGTTATAATTATTAATGTTATTGTGTATAAATTAATTGTGTAATCGCAATATTTTCTCGTGTAATTAATTCGGATAAATTATAAGGTTCAACTTTGTCGATCCACAATCACAGAATATCGTTTAGTTATGGAATTCGCTTCAGGTGGTTCACTGCGTCAACTTTTATCACAAGGTGTTTGGTTATCATTTACTAAAATACTAAAAATATCTGATGATATTGTACAAGGTCTAGGCTTTCTACACAGTGATTTAGTGAATAGACAACAATCCAATGGTCATCAAATTATATACGGTAAATATCCAGTGGCTCATCGTGATTTGAAACCAGAAAATATATTAATACGTTTTGATGGAACTGTTTGTTTGTCGGACTTTGGACAGTCTGTATGTCTGGCAGAAAACTCACCCAATAGTCCAACATCAAACAATTCGTGTGGAACGTCGTTACAAGATGTGTTAACTACGACGTATTCAGTTAGTTCAGCATTGGAGTCTATGCCGAAGGTATGATTTATTTGGTTTGTTTTTTCTTGTAAATTTTTTTGCGCATTGCCTCGTTTCAAAATTACTATCTGATACTCCGAAATGATTCGGTTTGGGCACCCGGGCGGTATCCCAGCCCTCACACATATCAAATGAGATTTGTGTGGAGCATATGTATTTGGTGCCTCCTTATACCAATATCTATGTGTTAAAATAAATCATGAAAATAAAATGGGGAAGACTTGTAATTCAGATGGTTAGTTTTAAGAAGGTTGAGTTATTTGAGCTGACTAGTTTAATTGCGAAGCTGCAATAACCCATTTAGACAAAACAATCAGGGCTTACTTCAAGTGAAATTCAGTCATCTCAACATTACCATGAAGGATCTAGTAATTCGCGTTTGTCTCCTACCTCTGTAGAGTATAACCTAACATTTAACACCGTGTAAAGCTATGTGATTGTTCGCGTATTGGTTTAATTAATAAATATTTCCAGTCTCAGCTACAAACTGATATTGGCTAGACCACCACTGAAAACCTGGAAGCACTAGACAGCCGTTGTATTATGGTGTGGGACTCAGCAGTCCGCATCTGGGGATCGGACCCAGAACTTTCGATCTCACGCTTAATCTCTAGACCCCTGAGTCAGTATCCGACACTGCTGATGTCTAATTTTGTTCGATTCACGATACTGCTCAGCCCTTGCCCACTGCATGCAGTGCATAACTGTCTCACTTCCGATACGGATTGGACTCCACTGCCATCCTATACTACTACTACTACTACTACTACTAATATTAATAATAATAATAATAATAACAATAATAATAATAATGTGCTTACTAGCAACTAGCTTCAAGATGCAACTCATGGAGTTTTAATGGAGGATGGTCTTATCAGGGGGTCACACCCCAACAATAGGTTAATTCACTTTTTATCCCCTCAAGATCCTGGAGCCCATGTGCACCATTGGTTTGGAATCAGGGTTTTCCAACTCCTCTAGGTGGATTTTCCATATCCACTAACCCGGTTAAAGCACTGGAAATTCGCTTTTCGTCCTCTTAATTTTGTAAACGACACCCTCACCATGATAAGGCAGTGAGTAGGACTTCCTTGTCAGTGGTTGTATACATGTGGCCATGTGAGAGCGTTTAGAGAGGAAGAGCGGACTCTCACTACCCTCGACTGTGCATTTGGGGGCCAATTTGTGGTTAATTAGGTTAAAAAAAGAAAAAGTGGATAGTCTTGATAGGTAGTTAATTCAGCCAATATCTTGTCATTGTTGGGGTGATCCAGAAAATTGCTTGCAAAAGACAAGCAAGCATCAGGAAACACTAAGAAGCGTTTCATCCAATCAGCGTTCACTTAGAGTCTCGGCCAAAAATATCAAGGAAGCAAAACGTCACATGCAGAGGCTCTGATTGGCTGGACTGCTACACTGCTACCATGTTTAGTAGCATTCCAGAATCTTCTAGCAACCCAAGGACATTTAAAATATTATAAAAACCCTGTATTTTCTTTATTAAAATGAACCTTGGAGTAAACTATTTCTCGCATACTTTGAGTCTTCTCCCTCGTTTTCAGGTCACTGTATAGTTCTAGCTTGGGGGTTACATAATAGCTTAGGAGACGAATATAGCGTTCAATCCTCAAGACTTATCAATCATAAACCTTTATCCTTACAGAAATGTTTTAGTTAAAATTGATGTTCAATAATAATACAAGGTGGACAAGCGTGATAGATACTTACGAGACTTCGTTATCGACTTAGGCGCACAAATGAACAAGTATCAGTAGAGAAGACAGCCACTTAAAAGAATAGAATCTTTTCTAATAAATACTCAATTCATTCGTATATAATCTTTTGTTTTATCTCACAGCAAAGTAATAATTCGTTATTATCATCTTTTGCCTACAGGCTGGAACTTTAAGATATCAGGCCCCAGAAATTATTGATGGTGCTATATCTTTCACTGGATGGGCTTTATTGCGTACCGATATATATTCTTTGGGATTGGTCTTATGGGAGTTGCTCACAGCTGCTCTTCTACCTGTTGACCATGAAAATGCTTCAGAAGGCAATTATGAGACTCACAATATTGATTTTAAGTTGAACGACTCTCCTGAAAACGCGTCCCCATCGATTGGTTCAGATTTATGTTTGATGAATAGTATCCACCCTGAGTTTGACTATCTGGACCCACACAACCCTGTAAATGTAGATTATCGTGCACCAGAACATAGAAAAATGAGAAAGCGGCACCACTGGCTGCCCTATGAAAAGGAACTGGGATCATTGTGTAATTCTTCAGCTGCTTTACAACAGCTTGTATGTCTGGAAAAATATCGTCCAGCTGGCCATCCGTCTTGGTTTAATTCAACTGTACGTTATTAATGTTTTTTGTGGTCTAAAGTTTTTTCTCCACATTGTTTACTTGTTTATGAAGTCTAGTTTTAAATAAATTACTTTAAGTGTTGGATTTAATCATAGGCATGTCCACATTTTGCTGCTAAGTGTGGTTGACCTGTTGTATCATATAATATTCGAAAATTGTCTTGTAATATAATCTTGTTAATCCTACATTAAATCTATCAATAAATTTTTACTTTGGTCGTAATATTTAATTTACTTATCGTATGCTAGAGATTCCAATCTATGTCACTTATCTCCAAATAGAAAACGCGATTATTACATATAGTATATAGTATAGTATATTATTCATCTATAAATTGTTTTGTGACTTCTAACATTTCGTGATATTATAATTGGTCAACAGTTTGAATACTTTCTCTTACATCTATATCTCCGTCTTGAAGATATTCATCAGGCTGTAATAACTGGTTAGTGTTAAAAATTAAATGCACCATAGCTATTTCAAAAGTCACTATGAATGTCAGGACTATTGATCCTAACTGACATCCTCTATCGGATAGCTATTAATTAACGTTTTAACTATTATACCATCTCTCCACTGTGGATAGGTATGATGTAATACATTGAATGTATATCACATCAAATAAGAAACAAGATGATATTTAATGTGATGATAATTTATGTTCTGAAGATTTAATGCAGAATTCAGACTGGTTTACAAGTGTAATCAGTTAGATACAAATTTGTAGATAATACTTAATTTATTAAATCTAAATTACTATAAATTTCAAATAACTTTTTCTAGAATAAATTTAAGTTAATGAATATTAAAGAATAAGTGTATTGGTTTAAAAAAAAATTAGAGTGTTCCGTTTGAAAAGAATTGTTAACAAATTATAACTTCACTAAAACTAATTTTCTACTAAAAATAATATAGCTGATTATATATTTTTCTGTTTGTTTATTAAAGTTTAATTCTGCTTATCCTCTTCTCGTTTTTTATCTCTTTTCAAATTTCTTTTTAAATAGTTGATTACTCATTTTTATCGTACAATTAATGAATGTTGGGATCATGATCCAGAGGCACGTCTTACAGCTGATTGTATTTTAAAACGAATTCGATTTTTAAAAAGTCAGATGAATAAAACAAAAAAATCAGATTAACTAAATTGAAAATAACACACACAATCAACTCTATTTATGTATACCTCTCAGGTTGATTAAAAAAGAGATAGGAAACTGGCCAGGAATGTTATCTCTTAATGAACAAAAATCAATCTCTTCTCACACATAAATGTATGAAAAACTTGTCATCGTGTTCCTGTTATTTTAACGTTACTTCATTATTTCTTCATTTATTTTTTTAAAATCCATTCCATTGTAGGAAGTTATAGTGAAATTTTCTCACCTTTTTTTTCTAAACGAAGACATTCCTTTGTTTTTCGCCCTGTTTATCTCTTGTCCATTTTACACAGTACGTGTTTGCCTCTGCTATTCGGTCTTGATAATGCAGTCTCATCTATATATATATATATATATATATATATATATATATAAAATATATATATATATATATATATATATATATATATATATAGGTTAATACTACCTCTAATGTAAATTCTTTTCTTAACAGTTATTCATATTGTTTGATAATATTTGTCAATCATCATCTGATCAATTCTACTACCTATTATCTTTACAATATCGTAACTAATATTCACATCTAGGTAATATTATTATTCAAGTTGCATCGTCAATCTCAGGGTGAAATCGATGCATACTCTGTAGTGAAACTTGTTGTTTATTCTTCTTTTCTCATTTTGTTTCTATTCTACTTTCACTCCTTCCCATTTTTCTGTCTTTCCTTATCCCATCTTATCCAGGTTTTATTGATTTTGATCACATTTCTAGTCTGCGTTTATATATATATATATATATATATATATATATATATATATATGCACCTTACTGTGTTTACCTTTTGCTTCTGCTTAATTTGTGGATATATTTTTTTTATCCGAATATACATTTATTTTAGTCATACTTCTTGACAAAAAAGCTGAAAAGAATTAAACACAAACTCCTGTTGATTCATGCCGGTAATTGCATTTTTTTCTTGTTTTACATTACTTTCCATTCAGTTTTGTAAAATAAATGAGAAAGAACTGAGTTAGTATGTAATCACTGAACTCGTGAAAAAGCATTTAATCACTAAATCACAACATATATTTATGTATATATAATTTTGTTATGTAATTATAACAATTGCGATGATCAATACTAATTTACACATGGATTATGAAATCGTTTGTGCACTGAATTCCGATCTTATAGGTTAATTTGCTGTAATGAGGACTGAAATTCTTAACTATTTTATTTTTGATTTGTCTATTCGCGTTATATTAATGGCCTTGTTTATCATACTTTTGTCGGTGCTGATACATTAACACTAGTCAATCAACTTTTATCTACAGCGCTTTTTAAAACTTAGGCTTGTATTCTTCTCATTGAATTATAGTTTAAGCGAAATTTTATGAAAAAAACGTTCTAGCTCATACAGTCGAATGCCATAAAAGTTTTAATGTTCACTGTCCGACAAATTCGAATGATTGTTGTGAACGATGTCTTTCATACCACGGTTTCCGTCAAACCTCAGATGATAATCCTCAGGATCGGATATATTAGTCAGTTTTCTCCAGTACACCTAGATTATGCCGTGATAATATGACACAAATATTCGTTCAGACCATAAAGAACTACATCTCCATTTATACCAGATGAATCTGTTCATTGTAAAAAATGTAAAAATTTTAATATTAACCTGAAAAGTAGTTGGTTCTTATTAGAGTTTTATTTTAGGTATTTTGAATGATATATAATCTAATATTTAAATAATATTTAGCCTATTCATTCTTATGTGAGGCAAAAAATGATTATAAGCAAATTGATAATCATTCAGATATTGTTTGTTTAAGGTTCCTCGATTCTAATCATACTACATATATAGAGACAAACAAATGTTTATTAGTTGAATTATCAATGAGTGACCTTGAGTTTGAATAAAAAAACAATTTTCAATAACCAATTAAGCGAAACGATTATATAGGTGACGATACATTGATAATTATTCAATGTCAGTGTGAACTACATCATTTCACTTTTTAATGTACAGTTAATATATTTCTTCTGAGTAATTAATTTTGGTGAGTTTTACGTATTTGTCAATATTACATATGAATATAAACATGTACGTATATCTAAACATTACGTATTTCTGAATAAAACAAATGATGTTAGGAGTTTAAAGCTGAATATCACTGTTAACAATTGGAAAGTAAACCGTTTCATTTAGAAATGTGAATTGACAAAACTGTAATTTCTTTTGGTATTTTACAGATTTCACATTAGTTGTTTGAGGCAATAAAATGAAAATCATTGAAACCTTTCATTGTGGTTTACACAATTACTTGGGATTTTGAATGATTGAAATGTATTTATCAATCGATCAAACTTGTAAACAGTCTATAATAAAAAAATCCCTAACTTTTTGATGTACTAATTTTTGTTGATAGTGGTGGCAATCTGACTATGTATCATTAATCTCAATCTTGTGGTTGATTTTCCATTTAACTTTCACTTCATCAGGTCTAATTCTTTTAATTACTGTTTTTGTTATTTAGCAAAACCACAGAAAGTTGTTGCACATGATGGTTTTATGTTCTCTGTACTGGCTGGTGCAATTGAGCTACAAATTTTCATTATTTAATAGGCTTAATAACCAGAATTATTTCTTGTATTTAACGGTAATGAGATCAGATGAACTCATAGCTTACAGAATTATTTCAAAAACATTGGAAAGAGTCACGTAGATAATGTAAAGTTCAAAGTGAACGATTCTCACAAATGTTTACTACTCATCCCCGAAGTGATTTTATCTAATTTACAGTAAATGTTACTGTATTATGGCTAATCATAACCGATATATGAATAAGTTTGTTTGATTCCAGTAATACAATATATGTTTTTCTAACTGTTCATTTTGTAAAGATTTTGTTGAAGTTACTTGATTATTGTTATTAGAAATATATAAAAAATACAAAGCTTTATTACCTAACATAAATAGCTAAAAAATCTTGGATTTATACACTGTATCGATTAGATGCTAAAAAGTACTAAGGTTACATTGGGAATAACAACGGCTATCTCAAATGCTTGGACTACCTACTTTCCAACTGTACAAATACTGCTATAATTCTTCCCCATTTAGATTTGTTTGAACTGAATAATTAAGAGTCATAACTGTGTGTAACTAATCGGTATTATGGAAGACTTACAACTTATCACGACAATAAATTCTGTAAATCTGAAATCGAGGCACTACTTGTTGGCATGTTTTTCTCTCTGTCTACCTTTCGAAAAAAATTCTAGAGAAAAATGTACATTGACTATTGAAAGAACATTTATAAAATTTAATTTTCGAATGTAAATTTAATCGATATCTATTACAGTATTGCATAGTTGATTGTGAGGATTCTTCCGTGTAACAAAATTTATGGTAGCGAACAAAGCCATTATTATTAATAACGCTGACAGCAATGAACACTATGTGTGTGGATACATGGAAGTATGTGGTCAACATAAATTCCGACAGTAATTGTCACCTAATAATTATATTAAATATGTTCTCCACTGTACTTGTTCACATTATTATTATACCTATCCTATGTTGGTTTATTTTAAATCCGTAAAATAATTGTATTAGTTATAACATTCAGTATTTTTCTTCATTATTGTTTTCTTTAACAGTAGATTTTCCATTTTATTTATTTTTAAAATCTGCTAAATTTGTAGCTTTAGAAACTAGACTTGACTTAATGAAAATGAAACTTACGTAACTATCTGTTTATAGTCTTTTTTCTTCATGGTCCTTTATAGCTGATAAGCTTAAGATAACTTTTAATTTAGTTATCATGGCAAATGAACCAAGGCACGTGATCTAGGTATGTCAGATAATGTCTACTTATTTTTCTGAAGTCACGTGATTCTGATCAATATATTCTTCAAGTCCTGAATACTAGTAGAAATTGATTGAAGAATATAATGTGATCACCAACTGAAGTGTACTCACCGTTGCTTTCTGTCATACAGTCAAAAATTATATAAGATCTTGCACAATTGTATACCAGTCCAAGCTACCTCCCACAATTTGCGTCATCAACGAGAAAGCAAATACAAATATGAAGGTCAAGGGAGCTAAATGTATGATATTAGTCAGATTAGGAAGTAAATGTATCATATGACATCGAAGTATTTATCTATAGATATTAAGATCAATACCTATACTAAAACAAACGGATGGATCCGTGACCTTGCCGCCCTTTTTAAAGTCATGTTTCTGACCATCTGTGACCATAGATTGTGTTTAAATCAACTCCAACCACGAATTCCTCACCTAATTTAGTCATACCTCATTCACTAATTTCTAATATTTTCCTGTAAACCTGTAACTTTTTTCACCAACTGCCTTTTTATTCCAACCATCCAGGCAGATATGTGCTGTGTTCGTAACAAATAATCTAACCAAGTGGTTATACGACGATTTCCAGCTCCGGTGGGTTCACGATTTCTACATAATACTCTACGTCTAACGCTGGGATTTCTCACTCAGTGGTCCCAATGAAAACCGAGGACACCTTAAAGATATTTGTTATCAAATGCCAGCAATCGGCACAATACTTTAAGTAGGATATTTAACAACTGATTAGTAAAATCGCTATTCGATAGGTTGGCTGTCACTCTAGTTGCATGATGTATCGTTCAAGTTAGTGGGAGCAGTGTTTTTTTTACCCTATTTTTGTCTCTGCGTTAGACATATCGCCAAGTTTGGTGAAACTCATGAAACCTTGTCACAAATCATGCACTGTACTAGAACAACCAGCCTTTACCATAGTAATATATATATATATACTTCTAAAATTACCTAAAAAGTGTATTCCGTAATCAGTAAATTATTCTAAACAATGTTCAGTCTATATCGACATTTACACAGTTCACGTATGCACATGTTCCGTCCAGTAATCAAGTTCTTTTTCCTATCAGTAAGCTTATGAGAAAATGTTTATTGCAATCGGTTGTTAATTAAGAAAAAAAATGTTTTTTTTTCCATAGAATAAGGCATTCAATGTATTAATCACTTAATTTATCCAACTATTCCTAACTTCTATGTAAATGAATACAAAGCTCAAGATATGTTAATGTTCATTTGCAGGAAACTTATTTACTACAGACGGTAGAAATGACAAGAATACACGTGTAATCTGTATACAACACATGTTCATTCTTGTATAAATACATTCTTATATTTGTATGTATGTATATATGTGTACAATTTCTTACTTTTATAATAAACCCTCTAGAATTGAATAATCATTTCAAAAAAAGT